TTGGCAAATAATAATTTGTTTATACTCCCAGAAGTTTGTATTTGCTTAATGCATCAAAGGGTGTAAATATGGCTATTCCATTTGGTTTTTCGAAATTTGTAAAAGAATATTAGGGCTTGAGAAAAATCTTTAATATGGTAGTCTAAGTTGTGTTGTATAGTTATAAGCTTTATAAATATTAGGATTATGCGTGTTTCCGAATCTAAGCATTCAAATTCACAAAAAAGCCCATTAAGGAAGGGGTATGTTATTTTGAGGCTGAAGCAACTATTACAGCCATAGTTTCAGGAAGATTCAGGCAGTTTTCTAGTCACTTGGTAAACTTTTCGAGTATTAAATTTTAACTGTGAACAGCCATATGCTGGTGAATTAATTATTTGTAGTTTATTAATTAGTATGGGATATAAAATTCAAAGACATCACATTAGAAGTAGCATTCATAGAATTAACTACAATTTAATAATAATATTTTAATTTAATTTTAATTTGAATTATTTAAGATGGAATTCGTCATACTTAGCATGGAATTGACTTATTTTCCTTCAGTATGCAATTCCTCAACTTTAATATAAACTTGCTCTTATACATGAAAAGGTCATGCATACCCTTTAATTGTTGAATTTATTGAAAAACAAGCAATTCCAGTTAATTTAACCACTGACTTTTGAAGTGCTCAAATTCATCAAGGGTATATTATTGGAATTACATGCTTCTTTCTGGATGAGAACTTTCAGTTACATGAACTTATTCTTGCAGTTTCATATATTCGTTATCCACATCATACTGTTTGAACATATTAGTAATACTTGAAATATTTGATCTATGGATACTAAGAGAAAAAGTCAATGTAATTACCACAGACAATAGTTCTACTAGCATGAAAAAGGCAATAAAAGACATGAATATTATTTCAAAAAATGCAGCCTTGCACAGCTCACACTTTACAGCTAGTTGTGGGAAAATGACTTACATGTATAAAACTACTTGCATTAAGGGCAAAAAGACTTATTGACTTCTTTATGATAAAAACAGTCAGAAAGACTAGAAAATATTCAAATCTCTTCTGTCCAAATGGAAAATCAAGTGGGAAGTAATAAAGAAGTGCATTTTAATAGTATATTTTACCATTGTATTTACAAAAAAAATTGTTTCTAGTTTATTATGCTAAATAATGTTGGTAAAATATAAGCATAACAATTGTAATTACCAAGGAGCAAAATAAAGATGGATGCTATATATTCTGTATTCTGTAATATACTTATTTACAAATCTCACATTTTACTCATGAATCATGACTCATGATTTCTTCAGTTGTCACAATATTTGAGTTGAAATTTATTTCTTCAAATAAAGTCAATTAAGAATTAAGCTATTAATATGAATATGTTGAGTCCTCATCAAGAACAGGATTACTTTTGCTCTATTTGAAATTCAAATTTATAGTATTCATATTTTTAGAATTCAGAGATACTAGGTAGAACTCTAAACTTGGTAAGAATATATATAAATGAGCTGATGAGGGAGAACAACCAGTTAAAGGAGGAGAAAGTGCAGTTGAAAATGGATAAGATGACATGGAGAAGTTGGACTCATGATCTAAAAGAGGAGTTAGAAAGACATGCTATCATTCTTGGAAGGAAATATCAAGAAATGGATTAATTACATATTTAGGCAAATCATACATACATACATTATGCTAGATATTCACCAGTTCAAGTTAATTCTGAATACTTGACTTAAATTTAAGTAGAGGAACTTCATTTAATAATGCTCTTATTGAAGAACAATGCTAGAAATATCAAACTAACATTAGTATATCTCAAATTTATTAATTGCTTCCAATATTACAGATAATAACTTTAAAATATACTGTACATTACATTTTTTTGTTCTGACAAAAAGACATTATAAAAAACAATAATTTTATAGACAATTACAAAGGGCAAGAATTAACTCTTTTTATCATTAAGTTCTGTGATTAATAAATAGTTAGATTTCCATACATAATTCTTGTATTCTCCATCAACTTTTTTTTACAATCAGATAACTTTAAGGCTATCATACATCAGACAAAATTATTAACTATTTACTGAAATAATGAAATTTAAAATTCTATATTTAAACTTAACATTTAATTATACTTCATATTCTTTAATGATAATAAAAACATAAGAAAATAGGTCAATACTCTTACTCAATCAAGATTGTTCTACAAACTTCTTAATAATTGATTATCTCACAAAATCATTTCATTCTTTTAATTCATTATCTATTACATTTACTTTGCACCAAAACTATAAATATCTGATGCATATGAATATATCAACTTACTCGGAATTCTTATCTCCGCTATGTACCTCATTTTACTAAACCTCTCTTCAAAATCATCATGTATTGCTGTTTTTTCATCTGCAGTTTCATTATCTTTTAATAACTTTTCCTTTTTAACGAATACAGCAGATTTTTTTTAATCTCGCCATGTAGTTATGATACAATGAGTCTAAGCTATATTATTTGCATTATTTATTCCATTAATTTGAAAGTATAAATTTTACTTGATTTTAAACCCTAGAATAATAAGATCTTGCTTGCTTTATTCTTTTAAAAAGTGGTATTTCGGTTAATTCGCATGTAACATAAGAAAAATATATTCAATAATCATAATTTGAGTTATATCAAATTACTGTATCGCACAATTTTAAATAAAGACTTCATATCAATAATGATTTCATTCAAAAAAATTTCTAGATAAAAATAAATAAATACTTTACTTTAAAATAACAACCCTATAAAAAGTCATTGTATGAAAATTTTATAATTTTTATTTAGTTTTTGTAATTATTGTTTAAAGACGTTTATTAAACAACTTTTAATATTTTTAATTTATGGCGATTCTTGTTGTTTTCATTAAACAATATTCGTACATTATTTTTAATAAATTCGTAAATAATTATTATTTGTCTAAATAGTGATCATCTACTATGTAGCACAATGGTCTTGATGTTCTTCTACGTAGTACAATGATCTCAATTTTCTTAATTTTCATTCTTTTTTTAAACTTTTTTTTTAAATTTTTTTTATCAAAATTTTCATTCTTTTTTAAACTTTATTTAAATTTTTTTTCGAATTTTTTCTTCTAATGAAATTTCATTCTTTATTAAGCTTTATTTTAAACTTTTTTTTAAATTTTTCTTCTAACGAAATTTCATTCAGTTCTTTTTTAAACTATTTTTAAACTTTTTTTTTGAAATTTACCTTCATTCATTTTTAACTTTAAACTTTTTTTAAAATTTTTCTTCTAACGAAATTTCATTCTTCTTTTTTCTTTTCCCTTTCCCTTCTCACAATTTTCTTTCCCTTTCATAATATTATTCCTTCACGGTAATTTTACTTACACTTAAATAATCATTAGTACATGATAAGAATTCTCGAATATATTTTTTCAGTAATTAGTTACTTGATATTCTACGACTGAAATTGAGCACAGTAATAATTGAAATTTATTAGACAGTTACTGAAACCGACTGATATTGTTGACAAAGAATAAAAACAATAGATTCGTCTTTGTTAAGTATATATATATATATTATTCTTAAATCATAATTAAACCATAGTCAGTATCTTAATGAGAATGCGGTTATTATATCAACTGAAAGAAAATCGCTAAAAACAGAATGCTTATAACTCTTGTAGGAATAGTAGAAGTGGATTTTTTTTATTTTTATTGTTTTTCTGTTTTTTCCGACTTTGATACTAAATCCTTTTTTTTAGGGTTTGTTTTAATTTTGGCCTTTGGACGTGTTGAAATTTGGTAGAACAGGGGTTTCTTCCTAGTTACTTCTTTTAACAAAACGGACTCTTTGTTCTTTTCATTTTTTTTAGGCAAGTTTAATTTTGGTAGGAAATTAATATATTCTTAACAAAATGTTTTTCTAATATTTCATTTATTCTTTTTTTTAGACGAGCCAGAAGTGAGGGATTTGATATTGTCATTTTGCTGAAGTATCTGCTTTTTTATCAATATTTTACTAAAAAATTTGATTGCTTGGGTTTTGGTAAAGGATCTAATTTTTTTTTAATTAGGTGTAAACTTTTGCATGCTAACGACTTGATCCACACTGTTAAAAATACTACTTCATCAGCAAAGTATCCTGGTCATAGGTCTAAGGAACCAATTATGATGATTTTGATTAAGAATTTGAAGGAAAGGAGCCGTTAAAACACTTTTTTATCAACAAAGCGTCCTGGTTGTAGGTTTAAACAACCAATTAATGATGATAAAGCGACCATTGAAGCCTCTGGTCAAGAATGTGAAGTAAAAGAAGCCGTCAAAAATACTACTTCAACAACAAAACATCCTGCCCGTAGACCTGCTGGAGTAAACCAGTCAAATAATGACAGTGTTTAAGCTATTGCAATTACTGGTCACAAGCGTAGGGTAAAAGACAATAAAAACTCTTCTTCAGTAGCAAGGCATCCTACTCGAAAATGTAAAGCAAAATAAATAATTTTAAAAACAAAAGTGTTGCAGGTACTTATAGTCTTATACTCATTTAGTTTTAACTGTATTCTTAATGCATTCATTTTAACAGTATTTATTTACATATTTTCTCATTAAAAATACTACTATTTTTCATTCTTAGGATTTCTTTTAGCAATATTTTTAAGTTTTAAACAGATTAGATTTTAAGTCCATTACAGTAAATATGTAAATGTGGAATATGAATTTACTACAAATTTATAACAAATTGCTCTTGAATGTGGCATAAAAATAATACGAGTTTTTGATAAATTTATTATAAAAGTTATATAAGTTTGCTACAAATTATTTACAAATATTGTACAAATAGATGCTCATTAATTGTATTATATTTGTTATATTAACATATCTTACATTTTTTTTACAAAAACTTGACGAAAACTTTTTACTGGGCAAATTTATAAACAACTTTATTTAATATATTATTCCTATCTGATTTTTTAAAATTACCATTAAATCATTAATCACTCTCCTTTATAAAATGATACAAATTAAATAAGCAATGGTAACTTTGCACTTTAATATTATATAACCTAAATTCCTCCACTTCATCTTTCATTGAAAACAATTCCTTATTACTATTATAGTTTTCAGTACTTTTAAAGGGATTCATAATAGCCAAATACTTAACTCTTTTCTTTTTCATAATATATACTTTTATATAGGATAAAATATCTTGTCCATCTATATTATTGATCACCAATTTCTTAATGAAAGTATCTTGAGTATTTTTTAAGAATACTTCAAAATCACATGTTTCAATGTGAAGACTCAATTTTAAATATTCTAATTTAAAAGGAAGGATTTGTCCTAAATTTCGTAATATAAATGAATCACATACAATATTATTACTTGATACTTGGCTATAATTAAATGCATTGATTGAAAGATAACTAAGATTTTGTTTCATATTTTCAATCAAATCGAATAATGGATATGTAATCTGATCTTCAAATTCAAGAAATTTAATTTTTTTACAATATTTTATAATTGATTCAAATATTTGTTGTTTTAATGAGAAGCCATAATTAAAACAAAATGTACACCCGAAGTTTTCTAAATAACTACCAGAATTTTGCAATAATAATAATAATAATTCATCAATTTTGAATCTTTCACTTATAAATAAAGATTTTAATTTAAATGGTTTAGTTAAACTAATAATTTGTTGAATAATACTAGCATTTAGAAAATTACAATAAATGATATGAACAGATTCTAAAACATTTAATTGTTCAAATATTTTGTCTAGATTAATTATACCTTCAAAATTAACGTGACATAATATAATAGTATTTAAAGTGTTTGAATAATTATTATCTTTTGTTAATAATAATGATTGATATAAAAAATATTATTAAATAAAACTTTTTTAAGATTCTTTTTAAGATTTTGATGTGAATTAATCATTTGTGTTACATTATTTTCAATTAACATATATTGATTGTAAAGACTACGAACATAAAGGTTTAAATTTCTGACATTGTGGATAAAGTTTGGATTTTGTGACATTAATTCAAGAATATCATCATAGTAAGAATTCCACTTTAAATGGATATCAATGTCAAGAGTATGTAAATTAACTTCATTATCAATAAACATTTTAAATAGTGACATTTGAATTAATCTTCCAAAATTTGGATCTAAATTTCTATGTTCAGGTTTTAAAGCATTACTAGACCACTCTTTAATAGAAGAAATAATTCTCCATGTATTCAAATACTTTATAAAACTAGGATAATTGAAAAGCGTATTTGAACGAAATATATGCTCCTTAATTAAATATTCATTTAATTTTGTTTTTAAATCACCATTTAAATTATGTAGGTAAATTTCGATAAAGTTAAAATTTTTGGTAGGATATGAAAATGGGTTTTCCCATAATAATGGAATTGCTAAACGACACCATAATCTGTTAACTAAAATACATGAATATAAAGTTGAAAAATCACTCTTAAAATACTTTAAAACTTCATATATTAATTCAGGTAATTCTCCAAAGAATATTTTTGAACACGACATAGTGTTAGTTAAAGAGAGCGAGGTACTATTATGTCGTGTCTTATAAATTTAATTAATTTCGGAACGGTGATTCCCGATAATAGTTGGTACAATTCATATTAATTAATTGTGTAACGTAGTTAATAATACTGTAGTCAGTGTTAGTAATGTTTATCACTTAATCAACGTGCAAGAATTTTTTCGGAACCTTCGCCCAATGAATTAGTAGTACACATGCTAGTTACATGTGATTTCGGATAACACTTTTGGCAAATTGTAGAATTAAACAATTTATCGCGAATGAATTGGAGATTCTTTAACGGTAGTTGACTTTTTTTTTTCAATAATATACATAATTATCAAGCATTTAAAGTATAATAGTTAAATTCAAATTTATTAATAAAATAAAAAAAAATTATAAGCCTATACAGTATTTTATAACCTAAGAAAATATAAAGTTTAATTTACTACAAATAGCTAAATCATAATATTTTATAATTTTAATATTATATAACCCAAATTCATTCACTTCATCTTCTAATAAAAACAAATCCTTATTATAAAAGTTTCTACCAATCATTATACTTTCAAAGGAATCCAAAATAGCCAAATAATTGACCCTTCGTTTTTTCATAATATATTCTTTTACATAAGGTAAAATATCATAAGCACCCTTATTATGAATCAAAAGCTTTTTAAAAAATTATTCTGAGAATTTTTTAAAAAAATTTCAAAATCATTTAAATTATTAATATTAAGAATTAAACTTAAATATTCTAAATTAAGAGGAAGTGATTGACCCAAGTTTCGTAATATAATTGAACTACGTTCAATATTATTATTTATTACCCGATTATCCAAATATAAAGTTTCACAGACGTCAATAGAAAGATGATTAAGATTTTGATTTATATTTTCAATTAAACCGAATACTAAATAAATAATCTGATTTTCATGTTCACATGATTCAAAAAATTTGATATTTTTACAATATTTCATAATTAATTCAAGTAATTCTCGTTTAATTGTTAAATTACAACCGTATCCAAATCCAAAGTTCTCTAAATATTCACCATATTTTTGTAATAATAATTGAAATGGTAATTCATCAATTTGCGATCTTCCGCTTATAAATAAAGATTTTAACTTGAATGGTTTAGCTAAGTTAATAATTTGTTGAATAAAACTATTATTTAAAAAACAATTAATTATATGAACACATTCTAATACATTTAATTGCTCAAATGCTTTATCTAAGTTGATTATACTTTTAAGATTGACTTGATATAAGATGATAGAACTTAAAGTATTTGAACAATTATAATCTTTAGATAATAACAATGATTGATACAATGGAAAACTATTATCGTCTAATACAATCTTATTAAGATTTTGATGTAAATTAATTATTTGTGATAAACGATTATTACTATAGCTAATTAAGAAATTAGAAGAATCACTAATAAAAAGTTTTAAATTTTTAATATTGTGAAAAAAACTAGGATATTGTAACAATAAATCAAGATCATAATTAAGATAAGGATCATGAATAGGATGACGGTAGATCTCAATTTCAAGCGTATGTAATTTTATTTCATTTTCGGTGAATATTTTATATATTGACATATGAATTAATCTCTCAAAACCATCTAATTTTCTTTTTTCAGGTTTAATAGTTCTAACAGCATCTTCAGTCCATTTTTCAATGGAAGTAATAATCCTCCATGTATTCAAATATTTTATAAAACTAGGATAATTGAAAAGTGTATTTGAAGGTATTAAATTTTCCTCAATTCTATATTCATTTAATATTGTTTTTAATTCACCATTTAAATTAAGTAAATAAATTTCAATAAAATTATAATTTTCTGTAGGAATTGAAAAAGGATTTTCCCATAATAATGGAATCGCTAAACGACACCATAATCTATTGACTAAAATACATGAATATAAAGTTGAAAAATCATTTTTAAAATATTTTATAATATCATGTGTTAATTCAGGTAAATCTCCTGAAAATATTTTTGAGCATGACATATTGTATCAAAGAGAGAAGAGGAGAAATATTAGTGAACTATTATCCGCTAAATAATTTTCCGGAATCTTAATCCCGATATTGTCGCACAAATCGCGTCGTGTAGCAATTGGTGTAATAAGTTGTTACGTCATTAAAAGCCACGATTTGCACTCAAGTTTCGTTGGGCGCGGTTTGTGTCGATCTTCACCATATAAGGAACAAGTGACATTTAAGTGTCACATGATCAACGTGCAACCACGACTTGGAAATTTTTTTGCGCTAAAAATTTATTTGTCACCCCCGTGACACAAAAAACCACAAAACTTGGGTGCGTCACGATTTACATGTAATGATCAGTCAAAATTATAATTGGCCAAAAGTTAAAACCACGTCACAAAATTTTAATTTAAATAATTTAAACAATAAATATGATATTTCCATGGATCCGTATTTCAAAAAAATTCCGTCATCACTGGTGATAACCGATTATTAATTATTTATACTCGCTGATGTTTGACAATACATTTTACGTTGTAATTTTTTATAACAATTTAAAAGTACTTATATTAACTGGAATTTATTCCAAAAAGTTGGTAGCGCTAAAAGGTTAATGTTTGATGTAAAGAACTTTTAGTTAGGAATTTAAATGATAGTGTTGTTTGTATTTATTTCTATCGCTCAGCTTAATAGGATCATACGGATTTTCATAGACCGGTATTATAACAATAATACATGATTATACATATTTGATATAATTGATATAGTAAGGTGGAGTAAAATGTAGGAAAGTCTAAATAAAGCTTTTAAAAATAGCAAAAATGAAATTTATAGAAAGTTAAATAGTAAATTAAATATAAAGTTTATTATGATGCTATAATAAATGCATAATCAAAAGCGTCAGAATGATAATGAATGTGGGCTATTTCAGTCACAGGACACTTCATTGATTGGTGAAATGGCCACTACGTGGCCATTTTCATCCAATCATTCGGTCTGTGACCGATATAACATAGTTTTGATTATTAATTAAGATTAATGCTACTAATACTGATTTCAATATTAGATGGATGTCTAATATAAATATCGGTAATTAAAATCCGCATATTTCTAATCGCCTGAACAATAATAATATGATGACACACTTGTAATAATTTTTCAAATTCAATAAAATGTTCCTTTGATGACAAAAGCGATAATAATTATAACATCTTAATGAAACTTCTCCAATATATCTTCCTGTTTATTATTATATTATTAATATTACATTAACTAACTTTGTTTAATTATCAATCATTTTTATTAAAATTTTAAATTGTGCTTAAAAATTTTGTATCACATGATCGTAGGGATAACGGTCCGACTGAACCGTGGACCGATCGGTCTAATAAGACCGATAAAAAAAACTATTTTTTTTTTGGTAAATTAGCAAGTTAGGCAACAATTTATTGACTAATTTGTTAAAATAAGGTCGGTCAACAATGTAAAAAAAATGGCTATATAAACTATATAAATAAATAATTTTTTTTGTAAGAACAAAAAAAAAATTTTTTTTTTTTGTTTACAGTAAAATAAACAAGAAATTATTTTTTTCGTTAAAGCGAACAAATTAGTAAACGTTCTTACTGCTATTTTTCATACGCATGTGATCGCAATCGATCGGCAGTAATTCTGGTCAAATTTATAATTCTGGCCTGAATTAAAAATTATCCTAATATGAAACTGGCTAAACCTTTATCCGATACACGTAACATTATGAATTAATAATCCGTTTCTCAAATTTCCATATTAAGAAATATTGAATCCGGCCGGAATTATAAACCCCCGAACCGTGGACCAATACCAGACCCGACCGATAATATTCCTATTTGTATCCCAAATCAACATATGGGATTCGCGTTGAATCAGAATCCACAATATCTAAATAAAACAAATAAATTAAATTTATTAATTTATTAAAATTATTATTTTATTAGGAAAAAAATTAATAAGATAATAAAGATATTACTAAAAAACGGTATTAATTGGTAGTTAGGACCAAAAAAAAAAAAAAAATTCTTACATATTATAAACCTATTATATTAATATAACATATATAGCGTTACAATACTAGATGAAAATATAATAGATAGGGTATATACGAATAATATGATTTAGGACTGATATGTAAGTATAACTTGACATACCTCCTTAATAACTTTGCCGATTTTTTTTCAAATCATTTCTTTTTTGCGAAATGACGATGATACTGTAACGATTTTATGGATTTACAAATCATATGATGTTATTGAAAAAAAAAATCGGCAATAATATTATATTGATGAATTTACAAATCATATTGTTATTGAAAATATTAATATTATCACCCAGTGATGATATTCACGAAATTGTAATGCTATATATTATGTAAATTTATGGATAGAAGAAGTTTTTTTTATCAAAAAGGTTATGAAATGATTTAATATTTTAAACTTATAATTAGAAACGTGTTTTATTTAACTTTGACCAATTATAATTTCGACCGACCACCATCACCTGCGGTGACGATATATATATATTAAAAATGGTATCTTTGATTTACATAATGCTTAATTATAGAAAATGTCACACGACGCAAATTGTCGGAAATCACAATCCCGAAGAATTAATTCGTGATCCGTTAGTCAACTAAAAAAAATTCATAAGATTCCGGTGCAAATTTATGTCGATCATTAGTAATCTTTTTCTGATACCCTCCCTGTTTTTATTCCTTAAGTAATGCTCTTTATGTGACCATTCAACTCTGACATAATATTTATCCCAAAGTTTCAAATAATTTGTTTTTTAAAACAAATTTCTCTCTCGTAATTTTTTACTTTTATTTGACGCCGCGCCAGATTCCCATTTTCTGCAGATCCTTTAAAGTTGTCACGAATTAATTATACTTACCTTTTCTCTCTTCACTTGCAACATGTCATGCTCAAAAATACTTTCAGGAGATATACCTGAATTAATATATGAAGTTATAAAATATTTTAAGACCGATTTTTCAACTTTACATTCATGTATTCTAGTCAACAGATTATGGTGTCGTTTAACGATTCCATTATTATGGGAAGATCCTTTTTCAAATCCTGCCGGAAATTATAATTTTATCGAAATTTATTTACATAATTTAAGCGGTGATTCAAAAACAAAATTAAGTGAATATAAAATTAATGATAATGTATCACCATCAAATACACTTTTCAATTATTTTAAATTTATAAAAAATTTGAATACATTGGAGTTTATTTCTTCTGTTGAAAAGTGGACTGCTGAAAATTTAAAATTCGGAAACAGATATTCTAATTTTATCTGCATATCATTATTTAAAATATTTATTGAAAATGAAATAGAATTAGATAATCTTGACATTGAGATCTCTAATTCTAATCTTGATGATATTCTTGAATTAATTTTACAAAATATAAATTTCATTCAGAATATTAAAATTTTAAACTTTTATATTTGTAATTATAGTAAAAACATGGTAACTAAAGATCGTGTAACACAAATAGTTAATTTACAGCGAAATCTTAAAGAAATTTTATTAGATGATAATAATTTTCCTTTGTATCAATCATTATTGTTATCAGACAATTCTAATTGCTCAAATACTTTAAAAATGATCATATTTTATAACGTCGATTTTAGAAATATAAGTAATTTAGATAAAATATTTGAACAATTAAATGGTTTAGAATCAATTAATATTGCTGACTGTTCTTCTTTAAATACAAGTTTTATTCCACAAATTATTAATTTAACTAAACCATTTAAAAAATTAAAATCTTTATTTTTAAAATGGAGATCGCAAAATGATGAAACATTAGAAATATTATTACAAAAATCTGGTGATAATTTAGAGGGTTTTGGTGGATCTTGTCAAGATTTTTTATTTAAGCGACATTTACTTGATATTATGAAATATTGTAAAAATATCAAATTTCTTGATTTACATGAAATTGATAACCAGACCATCTATCCAGTATTAAATATAATTGAAAATATAAAACAAAATCTTAATTATCTTTCGATCGGTATAGTAGATTATTCATATAGTAATACTTATATAGAATGTAGTTCAACCATATTACTAAATTTAGGACAGATTCTTCCTTCTAAATTAGAATATTTAAATTTGTGCATTTTCATTAAAGCAAATGATTTTGAAGTATTTCTAAAAAATATTCAAGATACTTTTATTAAGAAATTGGTGATTGAAAATCTACAAAGTCAAGATATTTTACCCTATGTAAAAAAATATATTATGAAAAGGAAAAGAATTGAACAATTAGCTATTTTGACTTTTGGTTGGATGGATTTGTTTAATTTGAAAGATGAAGTGAAGGAATTTAAGTCATATGATATTAAAGTTCGAAGACATTGTGATTTATCTCTTGACTCTTATAATAAGATTAAAAGGATTAAAAACAACTAAAATCTAAATGATTAATCAAATTTAGTTATAAGTTAATGTATTCTAATTATAAATAAAATGTTTCATTTATTTATTAGTAATTTATATTAAGAAATCTTTATTATCCACAATTTTATTATGAAAACATTTGTATTAACAAAGTGAATTATGGGTGATGTAAATCATTTTATTGCACCAGTGCATGATGATGCTATTAAACATTATTAACACAAAATTTTTTTAAATTTATATTTTTTAATTTATAAGGTTTCAGTACGTTGTTTGAACGGATATTAATAAATTTGAAGATCGTTCAGATTTACAGCAAGGTCAATGATCATATATAATGACAAAGTTTTAAAATTTTATTTCCGTAATGTTGTAGTAATTGATATAGAATTTAAGATCCGACGGATAATTTATGTATAGCGAATCTATTGCTATATATAAAATCGGAAATAAATTTATCAATTCCCCAAAGGTCAAATCTCGACAATCACTTGCACGACTAACACAAAATCGACAACAAATCTCGACAATCCAATATTTATAATATAGATTGTGTTACTAAAGAGGTCACCCCAATTAGATTTTCTGAGTTTTTATTGGCCAAAAAAAATTAAAATAATTATTAAATAATAGTTAAAAAAAGTCTATGGAATAGTTTCGATAATTTTGTAAATCTAAATATGTGTGTTCTAATAAAATAATTTGTTGCAATATGTTAAATTTTATAAAATTGCCAGGATAATCAACTTGTCGGTATAATGATTTATCTGGATTTTGACTTGTCAGGATTTTGATTTTGTTGTCGGTCAGTCGTTCAAATGATTTTCGAGATTTCGTACCAAAACCTCCGCAAAGAATATTAAAATTTTTTGCTTCAAACACTTATTTGTAACTTTAAATTACAATTTCACTGAAAATTCAAACGGATAACGGATCCAGTCTCTATTGAGTTGTAACTTGCAAGAAAGAATATAAGTTATAAAATTTATCAAAAAAAAAACAAAAAAAAACCTCTATCAAAAAAATTTTATAAACATTTGCTATTGGCTTATTCGTTTTAATTATAAAAAAAAAAAAAAATTGTATGCCATATAAAATAGCATGATTATATTGACAAAGATTTTTTCAATTTACCAAATGTGAAATTTCTATCTTATTTGGATGATATATTGTTTATTCTTTTCCTCTCATCTTCGTTGTGAATACTAGAAATTCTTTGTTTTCATGGCGTAATTGACCGAATCTATCTTCTGCTATGTCCGAATCAATCTTTTCCAAGGAATTTGGCAGATGGATTCTGCATTATATGTTCTTTAATCTATTTGTTGATGGATTATTTTTCGTTGTCACGAATCATATTTTTGTACCCCGGCCAATTGGCGTTTTGTCAATCACTTTGATCACGTGAGTCAATCGGTCACGTGATTATTACTTCGCTTTAGACGACCCCCGTTTTAGGAGAATTATATTAACTATTAAATGTCTAATAATAGAAAATGTATAACATCATTATGGTCTGAACGACTGAACCCCTCCCCCTTAGGTAATAACGTAATTTCTGGCCATCCCTGTGTCGTGTAATTTATTTTTTGTGTTTAATAAACCCATATTCTGTTTAAGAATAATAACGAAAAAAATTTAAAGGACCTTTATTACACTTTCATAAATTTGGACCATCAGCAACAAGTTCTTTAAAATAGTTTTTTATAAAAAAAAAAACAAAAAACTAGAATTTGTTAAAATACTTTATTTTTATTTCTGAATAAGATAAATATATTTTATTATGAATACTGTAATATATAATTATTACCGTTTGTCTACAGGCTATAGCACATATTTTGATAAAATATGATAAGTTTCAATTAAAGCAAATGGGCAATGACAGATATTAGGTAATACTTAAGGACTGGATAAAGCAAAAATACAAAAATCAAGAATTTTTTATAGGTCAAAATTAATATTATTAGTTAAAAAATTTTATCCACCGCATTATCAATTTTATTGTCCACAAAATTTTCAAACTCAGTCCAGCAGTGTGCCCTCGAAACAGATATAGAGCAATCACTTCCGAGAAAATACGTAGTCCTATGCTCCTTCTTGCAATCCGTATAAGGCCCATTATAATCCATGCATGTTTTGGGATTCTCCGGACACCGCCTAGTATGAATATCGTACACTTTGCTGCAATTCTCTCCTCCATGGTTTGCAAGACAACCCTTGTCGGTGCGCTTGGAGTGGGAGTGATCGTGGTCATGGTCAAGGCTCTTGTATCCCAAGTCGTACACGAAAACATTGCCAATTTGACGTGTTGGATAGGCCTTGTCTGCGAGATAGATAATGCCATCTTTGATGATATTGCTGTGGACTCCATGAACGTAATCTGTTTGTTTCCGACCAAGCACTGCGTAATCGCCATCAACATCCTCGATTTCAAATTCACCAAGCTCGTTAGCTTCAATCATGGACCCTTTATGCTCAATTAGTGCACCAGCAACTGGGAAGTAAATGAGGAGCTCCATCGAAGCCTGGTCATAGAAATGAAAACCATATTTCTGCAGCTCTTCATAGTTTGTAAAGTAGTGGTCTTCAAACATGTTGATTTCTTCAGGTGAGAACTTGACTTTCATATAACCGATTAACTTAACGGTCTCGTTGTATAGCTTGTAGTTCAAGGTGTTAATGTAGCGTTCTTCAAAGTGACCTAGCTCACGCTTTACAGTGTCATGGGACGGTCGTGGACGAGCTTGGGCAGTGGTCCACGTAAGGCTGAGGCTCCAAGGTAGAGAATCAAATAGAAAATAAATAACATATTGAATACAGGAGAATCAGAGTCTAGAGTGTGGAATAAAAAGTTTTTTTTTTTTTTTTTTTGAGATAAACGATGAGTGTGGAGTGAAGAGTATATATATGTATCTTTAGTACGTATACTTTTCGGGAGAAATCCAAAAAAATGAAACAATAACGATAATTAATAATCAACTGCATTGTTATAATTTCCTTTTTTGGGTTTTGCCATAAACACTTTATTTTATTTTTTAATGCTGCTGAAAGAGTGAGAGTTAGTACAGTCATATCCTGATCATCGGATCAATTATCCAAGTCTCTTTCAACGAAGAAAGAGATAAAGATTAGTCTAGTTTTAACATTACATCATTGTTAACATCATCATATGTCAGTTGAATGAATTAATTGAGATACCTTATAGTATGATTTTTATTATAACTAATTAATTTAATTATGAATATTGTAAATATGTATTTCATTTTCGCTTTGTTTTTATTGCTGTTTTTAATTTAGTGCGATCATAACGTAACACACCTATAAATAATAATTTTAAAAATTTGTGAATACCCGTGGTTTTTAAATAATCATCTAGAAAAGGGGTTGATTACCGGGGGAAATTATGGAAAATTCCCAATTATTTGAGTAGTTTACTTATAAAAAATCGTTATTGTTACACAAATTAAAAACTTGCTTATAAGTAAACTACTCGAAAAATTGGGATTTTTCTATAATTTCCACTGTTATTCACAGGTTATTAACTATTTTCTAAATAATTTTTTAGAAAAAAGTTCATGGGTATTCACAAATTTTTAATAATCATATTTTTATAGGAGTGCTAGCTATTATCACTAAAAAACAGCGATAATTCAAATATTGTTTAATTAATTGAATACAAATATTATTGAATTTTATTAATAAAATAATAATTTCGATAAATTTGAATTTATTTATTTTATTTAGATAATGAAAATATTGTCCAACTATTTGTTTGATTCTAATTATGCGTATATTGATACGTTGGGAAATTATTTAAAGATAATTTCAATATATTAATTTGGGATACAAAATAGAAATTTACCATTCAAATTACTGAGTATTTGCATCGAACAAATATTATTCATCATGAATCATGAACTTGCAAGTATTTTACTTTGATAAATTGCAGATTTAGAGTTTCACGTAGAATGACTGAAGTATTATTACCTCAAAGTCATATTTTTCAAAAGTCATTACATTATATCGATTCACAACATTTTTAAATTATCATTTTAAAGGACATTAAGAGTTGGATGTATATAGTGTTGGTGTACTCCTTTGGAATATCATCCGGAAAAAAATCATATAAATCCTACTATATTTTATAAGAAAAAAGAGAAGTTCCAATTCCTAATATGCCAATCGATTGTATTGATATTTATAAAGTACAATTCTTCATAAATATGTTTTTATTTTAGTAATATAAATTCTAATTTATTTATAATTCTCAAAAAATGTTGGCAACTAATATTCCAGATGATAGACCAGATATGGAACAACGAAGTATTTTCTAACTTAAAATTAATTAATCTGGATACAAATAAAATTCTTATTAATGATTCACTACCATTATATGAAGGTTCTATTCGAAGAGAAGCGAATAAAAAAGATTGTACAATAAATTTTTCATGTATCCTTATATAAAAAAAAAGTTATTAAGTTTAATAAGACCGTTTCAAGCCCTATAAAAAAAGATGTCCGGAATCATTAAAATATCGGAAATTGTCTAGGAGAGCTCCAGAATATTGAAATTTTCCGGACATTTTTCATTTTCCGGACATTTTCGGTGGCAATTTCCGGACATTTTTATTTTATAGGAGGATCCTCCTTCATATGTTACTTTTTATTTTGGTAACACACATTTCTTTATCATATTATTTCAATATAATTGTAAATTTATTGCGCCTTTCAAAATTGTGCTACCCCCCTAGCTATAGATCATCTGATAAAAAAATTATGATTACAAGACGATTACCGGACAAAAATCGTCCTGTAATAGTACTGTAATCGTCCTGGTATTATAATCACTGAGTAATCACGACGTACACAGAATTCTGAACACTGTGATAAATGGCCTAATATGTAAGTATAATTTAATATACCTCTTTAATAACTTCGGAATTGCTCGTCATCGCAAAAAAAAAAATTATTTGAAAAAACTCGATAATAATCACATGATTACAAGCATCAATGTCGATCATTTCAGCCAATGTTGTAGATCCATATTGTTTTACATTCAGAGTCTTTGACAATCTATGATCAACTTCTCCATGATCAATGTGCTAGAGTTATTTCCATTTATGAATTTATATTTCTACATAATTAATCGTTCATGTTTTACGTTTCTTTTTCTTTTTCTTCCCGTAGTGGCTAGGCATGTAGTATGTCATATCTTTTCCTTTTACTGCCTCACAATCCTGCCTCACAGAAGGATTACTACTGTAGAAAATTTTATTCTTATTGTAGTTATACTGCTTCAATTTCTCCTGTACAATAAATAAATTGTTTTTGATCTTGCACATTATTCACAACATTTTATTTTTGGCTTAGGTTCCTTTTAAAATTGTTATTGAAACTTTTATGTTATAAATGAATTTAAATTTTAACAAATAGTAAAATTCTATTATAATTTATGAAAATATTTGATGTTTTGGAAAATATTATTAAATTAATTTATTAATTCTACAATTGAAAAAGGTCTTGAACTTTCCAGGTTTCAATCATATAATATACTAAACCATTAATAAATCATCTAATCATTAGATTTAATTTGTTATAGATGAATACATTCATGTTGTTTGTTTTATTAATTAATGAATAACAGATAAATAAACGATTTTTTATTTAATTGATTTACTGCAAATAATATAAAAAACATTTATCATCATAAATCATATATTATCATTGTAATTAATGATTTTTTTTTTTTTGTATTATATTTGTATTTCATAAAATAATAGAGATTTGTTAATAAATTGTTAGCTAACTACAATCAATTTTGGTTAAATTTTTCCGATCATCTTAATTTTACCAATATTTATATAAATCTTCGCCGATTTGCAGAATGAATATTCAGCCAAAATTATCACATGCATTCTCACATATAGTTGTTTAGAATGACAAAAATATCTTAGCTTTTTTAAAAAAAATAAAAATAAATTCGATTAGTAGTTAAAAATCCCGTATCTGCTGATTCTCTGATCAAACCCTAAGAGGAAAAAATGAATAATTTTTTAATTGCTTTTTTTTTAAAAAAAAAAAAAAAAAGTATTTATTAAATGTACTGTACAAACATTACACATTTTTTAAAAAAAAAAAAAAAAATTAGTAGTATTTTTTAAAAAAAAATTCAAAGAAAAAAGGAGGATGGAAAATCATCTGCAGCCTCTAGCGTTATTTTAAATTTTTCCTATCCCATAATTTCGACAATATATATATATATATATAATACTAATGGATCGGATGCTTGGTAGGTGGACAATGGGTTAATATTATGGAGCGTTAATGTTAGAATCGATCAAAAAAAGATGCGGGAGGCGATGACCAACATTAACGTTAACATAAAGATTAGTTTTCTGATAATAAAAGACAAGTCTAATAGGTATATTTTCTGGGTATTTCTTTCTTAGTTAAAAGAAAACTAAAAAAAATTCTCAAATAATAACAATAAGAATAAAATAAAAAGTTTAGAAATTCTACTAAAAAGGGTAAATTAATCGATTGAAACTTATGCATCATTTTAAAGCTTATCAATTGATGATAGAAATAACTCAATTTTTTTCTTTAAAAAAAAAAAATTAATTAATAACAAATTAAAGCAATCACTTTTTTTAATAGAATGACACCAACGAGAATTAATACTGTACATCTCACATTCTAATTGTGACACCACGTGACTACTAACGTACATATTGTTGATATTGTAATATTGGAAAAAGAATAATAATTTAGTTTGATCGAAGGGTGAGGTCCTGTAGGGGACGAAGTTCCGAATTCTATACATGTATATTTTTTGTTAGACATGTAAATGTTTTCTCAATTTTATTTGTAATAGTTTTGGTACTACCACTCCTTTAGTAAATAAATAAATAAATAAAAATAAAGAATAATAATTCTAATCTACAATGTTCCTCAGTTCCTTTACGCTCACACAGTAAGTGTAATAATATCTGCGCCTAGAAATTCTAATTTGATTATTGTAAAGGTTACTATGAAGTCCTTTGCTTGGAATAAACTATACTTTACTTCCCTATCAATGCAATTTATTATTTGAACTGCCTCTTTCTCAAAAGAAAACCCGAAATGGAGAAAAACTACAAAATTAAATGACCAATTTTTTTTTTTTTTTGTTATTCATTTCAAAACCTATGCAAAATTACCATTTTAACATTTAATGTTTCGGCAAAACAATTTATATCACCTGATTTATTATTGATTTCTACACCCCATAGTATAAGTAAATAGAAAACAATAAATTCCAGTAGATATATTATTTGTTATGTATTGGGTTCAATTAAATATAAATTAGACAATAGAAGATTTTGAAGCAATAATCAAATTTTAATTATTCAAAACTATAAATAATTAAATGAAATTTTCTTCTACGTTTACGTACGTGATCCAGTGATCCATGATAATTCAATCTAATATTTAAACATCACATTTGCATCTCGTTTATTTTTTTCTAAAACAAACTGAACTCTGTTTATAAATATATGATATAATTGTTAACGAGTGTTTGCAGGTAAACAAAAAAAGTTATAGAATTGATTGATAATAAATTTCATAAATATGAACAAACGAGTCATTTCAGCTGACAACTGACGTACAACATATATTTTATAATAAATAAATAATTTTTGTAGTTTACTTAATCTTTTCAAATAATTAAACAAATTATTTATCCAGAAATTAAAAGAGACCTGATTTCATAGTTTGAATTATGTTTGAATTTTACATCCATAAATCGCCAAACAAACAATTAAATTCATATCCGGAAATCATGTACTCACGATGTTTCACAACACGTAATATTTAAATTAAATTTGTCACATAATTTATTTTGACCAGTTTTTATTCTATTTGTAAAGAATATAATAAATTTAAATACATAAAAAGTTATTCATTTTGCGTTATTACTTTCACCCAATGTTCGACCTTTTCCTGATCATTTGTCATTATTTGCCAGTCATTTGATTTTGATTGGTTGACATCTTATCACATGATTTTAATTGAAAAAACAGAGTATAATGTAGGTCAGAATTAAAGTGCTGGGCAACATTAACCTCAAATGACTCAGCAAGTCAATTGTCATTTGAGAAGTGGAATGACCGGTCACCAATTAAATGATTATATAGATTATTTTGTTACGCAAGATTATATGTGAAAAAAGGTTAAATCACCCAGTAATGATATTCACGAAATTGTAATGCTATAATATGTAATTTTATGTATAGAAGAAGGCTTCTTAAGTCAAAAAGGATATGAAATGACTTAATAAGTAATTAATTTTGAAATTATAAGACATGTTTTATTTAACTTTGACTAATTATAATTTTGACCTATTACGGTCGTGCATTACTGGTATGTTATGTAAATTGTAGTACCTTTGGCAAAATTCCTAATTATAGAAAACGTTACACGACACGAATTATACAACTATAAATTTATCCGGCCGATACAATAATTATCATTGTACATTATTTCTCTCTTTGTTTACAATATGTCTTGTTCAAAAATATTTTCAGGAGATTTACCTGAATTAATATATGAAATCATAAAATATTTTAAGACCGATCATTCAACTTTACATTCATGTATTTTAGTCAACAGATTATGGTGTCGTTTAGCGATTCCATTATTATGGGAAAATCCTTTTTCAATTTCTACGAAAAATTACAATTTTATTGAAATTTATTTACATGATTTAAATGATGATTTAAAAACAAAATATAATATATCAACCTCAAATACACTTTTCAATTAGGGGACTGCCAGAAATGACGTCATTTCCTAAGGGGGGGAGGGGGGTTAAGACCATGATGATGTTACACATCTTCCATTTTTAGACACTTGTAGTTAATATAATTCTAGCCAGAATTATGTTTTAATTTTACATTTCCTAAAATGAATGATGACATGGGGCTGTCTCTTATACACATCTAGATGTGTATAAGAGACAGAGTATGAATATCGTACACTTTGCTGCAATTCTCTCCTCCATGGTTTGCAAGACAACCCTTGTCGGTGCGCTTGGAGTGGGAGTGATCGTGGTCATGGTCAAGGCTCTTGTATCCCAAGTCGTACACGAAAACATTGCCAATTTGACGTGTTGGATAGGCCTTGTCTGCGAGATAGATAATGCCATCTTTGATGATATTGCTGTGGACTCCATGAACGTAATCTGTTTGTTTCCGACCAAGCACTGCGTAATCGCCATCAACATCCTCGATTTCAAATTCNAGTAATAGTGTAGAATCATCAAATATGTATATACTCGAAAATTTACATCTTGAAAAAATCTGTAGATTTACGGATTTGTGTAATGTACACTTAAATATATAGTCTCGATAATTTTTATTTTAAAAATTCGCATAAATTTTACTTAAATGGGTAGTTTTGATAACTCACTTTACTAAAAATATTCGTAAATATACTATTTTGTATAACTTACGCTTAATATAATTATCATTTTAAAACTTTATTAGTACAATATATAATACTAAATATTTGAACCAAGAAATGATAACATATATACAATTTAGAAAATATTTCTATTCATCAAAAATTCAAAATTGTAAAAAATAAAAAATAAAAAATCATTAAGTTTTAAAACATTAAGAAAAAACCTTAAAAACTATACTTTTGATGGAAATACCCAAAATGCTTCCAAAGAGCTTCAATGTCATTTGGCTGTAAATTTTCAGTCAGATCCAAGCATCGGCCCAAGAATTTCTTCCTAAATTTGTAAAAAAAACTAAAAGACGAATTTGTTTATTTGCTATCAGAATCTTCTCTTCGTCCCTATGTCATCACTACACATTTTTTATTCTTGTTAATCTTGTCTTTATCCTCGATTGTCTTCCCTTTCTCTTCCGGCAAGCTTGATATTTTATTAACCTCTTCTAATCTTTCACTAAAATTGTTATTCAATACATTGAGCTCTTCATGTTCTTCTTTGGTCCTCGGTATTGTTGATAGGACATCAGATTTGGCATCAACAAATCTATCTTTAGATGTTGTTTACGTTGGCACTTTAAATCTATTTGATCCCGATACGTACCCTCTTCGCCAATTAGCTCATCTTGACTTTTCATTTGAAGTCCTTTTCCCATATCTTCTTCCATTGTGGATTTATAAATTGCCTTTAATAAGTCACTCTCGTTGTTAAATATATCAAATAATATTTTATTTTGCTAATTTTGATGACTTTGGCAAAATGTCCACTGAAAGTTGTATTATAATTCTTAATTATCTCGTGTTCTTTTTTCTCCAATTCATCTTTATCTAACTTTCTATATGCTTACCATTCATATCTTCTTTTTATCGCTGTTGCATTTAACTTCGCGTCAAACATCATAAAAAATATATTCGTTCATTTTTTGTTAGCGCTATATTTCCTCCTTTTTGAAATATTTCTACCATTTCTTTTGTTAAGTGGATCCTAGCTCGAACTGTTCTGTATTTATAATTCCATTTGACTTCAAGCCTTTCTATGTATACAACTTTTTTCAACATCTTATATATTTCGTTGTCTTTCCAATAAGCAGAAAAATTGTAAAACTTTAAGTCACGTGATTGTTCAGCAAAATGTTTATCCAAATAAATTATCATTGGAAGTTGTTTGAACCGAAATTTCAGTGATCTTCCCTTTATTGATTTCTTGTGTCGTCTTTTTGGATTTTTGTCACCAATCATGGCTTTTTGTCTTACTTTTATTCTTCTCCAGATCTTTAAATTTTCTTACACCATTTTCTAGAGATATTATTTGTTCTTCTGCTTTCTTTATATTTTTTTCCAGCGATATTATTTGTTTATCTGCTATCTTTTTTTCTTTTTCTAAAGATATTATTTGTTCATCTGCAAACTTTTTTTCCTCTTTTAAAACTTTAACACTTTCTTCTAACTTATTGTGTTTTTCTTTCCAAGCATCTAATTCGTAATTTGCTATCTCTCAAAAAGTTGCCCATTGGTTATTGTTTGCTGCGTCTTTCAAGAAATTTTCACGAAATACTTTCTCAAGAACATTCATTACATAGCCTTGATAGTAAAGATAGAGGCGAAAAAAATATTGGCATGTCTCATCCTCTTTTCTTCACATCTATTAGAAATGTAGGCCTTGGAAAAAGCACCTGGTTTATATAAAGAAATTTTGTCTTCTAGGTTAAACTTTCGTATTCTGCTAAACTAATATGTTCTTTCTTTTCTTCAGCTTTGTAAAAGTCTCTCAAATATTCTAACTCCAGTCCGACGAAACTCCTATAGTAGCCTAACAAATAAGGTTTTATGAACAACTGTTCTTTTGTTAACTCTTCGTTCGACATTTTATGTATATTTTATATATATTTTTATTTTTATTTTTATTGAACAGTAATAGTTAGCGAATACAAATTTTATAAACATATCAAAAATGAAAAAGTAAAATAAAAAAATGAACTAAACTATCAGAAGAATCTACTTCGACGGTGGGGCAATTAAATACGAAACTATTAAAGATATAACCAACTACACCTAAAAACCATTTCTTTAATTAACCCACTACCTCCCATACACTAGCCGAAACTTGGTAAGTTGAAGCCCGCCCTGCAGAAGAAAGTAAAATTGACCCTATAAAATTATATAAATCAAACTACTAAAATCTATGATGGCGCTACGAAGTAAGATTAGTATATAATTCTATTATATTTTTACCAAAATAAATGTAATTCCTAACACTATCTAAAGAATCATAATGAATATTATTAGTATAACTACTATTATTACTAGGTAATGAATGAACGCTTTTGAATTCTAATTTTTTCTTTTTAGTTAATCCTATAGAATGTTCAAATTCCTTCAAATGCGAACACCTTGGAATCCAAACTTCTTCGAATATAGCATTAAAAATAAACTGTCTCATTTGAACCAAAACATCAACAACATTTTTCTTTGTAGTCCAGGAATTCAATAATTCTGAAAGTGACATAGGTATAATACCTTTAATCAAGTCAATAAAAGTAAACATGTTAGGATCATAAGATATATCCCATATATCAAGTGCCATAAGAGCATTAAAATCTTGTATATTATCATTATATTCTAATATCCAAGTTAAGAGATGATCAATAGTCTTATCTCGAATGTTGTTAATAATATCATAATTACCACTACACGTCCAGACATGATTAAAGGTTTCGTCTTGTAGACCACATATAGGGCACATCCAACCATCATATAAGTCAAACAATGATTTCTTCATCTGTTCAATTGTAGGAATTTCTTCAATTAACAAGTGAACTTTTTGAGCTTTTGTTTTAGAAGAAGAAACAGAAGTTTCATTGTTATTTATGTCACAATTTAAACAACTAAATGTGGATGTCCAGTCGACTTCTAGCGTGCGATATTTAGAATTTCTATTCAAATTAATAAAATTTTCTAAACCTTTGTAGTTGCATATATTTTTCAAAAATGAGCGCAGCTTATTTTCAATAATAATTCCATTCCAACAAGGAAGAACTTTCATCATACAAGCGTTCTGTCGTAAAACTATATAGTGATCTTGATCAGTATGTGCAATTTTCGCCAAATTATCTACATAATTATTACCCATATCATCACCATGAGCAACAACCTTAAACATTTCCACATGCAAGTTCAATGTTAATATGATTCTACATAAAATAGCCCATAAGAAATTATTATTAGCCTTAAAGTATTCACGTGAGGTTTGAGAAAATCTTGACTTCTTCAATTTTTCAAATTGAGTAATCACGTTAAGCGAGTCTGTGTTAATTCTAACTTTACTATTTTTTGGAACAACGCTTAATGCTAAAAGAACAGCTAACAATTCTCCTCTATATGCAGAAGGCCATTTATCAATAGTAGAATAAAATTCGACATGAGGTATATCAAACAA